TAGGGTTAGCTTTAGGGTTAGCTTTAGGGTTAGGGTTAGGGTTAGGTTAAGGGTTAGGGGTAGGTTTAGGGTTAGGGTAAGGGGTAGGTTTAGGGTTAGGGGTAGGGTTAGGTTTAGGTTTAGGTTTAGGTTTAGGGTTAAGTTAAGGGTTAGGGTTAGGGTTAGGGTTAGGATTAGGTTTAGGGGGGTTAGGTTTAGGTTTAGGGGTTAATTTTAGGTTTAGGGTTTACAGCGTGCTTCTGTCTCCACGCTGTTGTCGTCCTGTTGATGACGTCAGCGACGCGGTTCAGTTGGGTGCGGTTTAGTCGAGCGTGGTTTTGTGGTGGAACCCTGGCCCTATGCTGTCCTATTTAGCCATGTTTTCTAATCCATGTGCATGCATGCAAGCCATGCATAATAGCAAAGTGCATGCGCAAAAGGCCGTACACATGTGCATGAGTGCACACTCACAGTTTTGGTGCATGGCAAACTGGTGGTAAAATTATGTGAAACCTACCTCTAGTCATGACCACACAGCTCCCTTTCCTTTGCTCAATGGAGGGCAGAGATTTTATGAATCATCAAAGCTACCTCTCTTTCCTCTTATATACTGTATGTTTGTTTTAGTCTTAGACTAATTGAAGTGACTGTAAAGGGCTTCTTTCGCATTGAGTGTTGCATCGTCCTCCTGGTCTCCCTCAGCCAACTAAAGAAGGGAGTTTGGTTTCACATGATGGAGAAAATATCTCTGATCGCTAAGCATGAGAAACCATTAATGGCATATTATCAATCAATCAGTTGATTAACCAGGCCATTCATCTTTGCTTACTCTCAGTTAAAGGACAGGGATGGGTGATCTCCATCACCAGAGGTGGGTTCCTATTGGTTCATCCGAATAGATAGTAATTAAACATCAATCTAGGTTACTGGAGACCACATTCAAGCCTCAACTCCAAAAATGGGAACGATTTGATCATGCTGGCTTCCTATCTGTTTTGTACTGGATTCCTTTTTTATGACATTACTTGTTCTAATTATATAGACAATAAACATGGAAACCATGTGGGGACACAACAACCAAAGCTTCCAAGGAGAATTTATCTTGCTGGGAGTGGCTGACCGGCCCCGCTTGGAGATGTTGCTCTTTGCCCTTCTTCTTGTCTGCTACTTGATGAATCTCCTAGGCAACACAACCATCATTGTGGTGTCAAGACTAGATCCAGGGCTCCACACTCCCATGTATTTCTTCCTCAGCAATCTTTCCTTAGTTGACCTCTGTTTCTCCACCAGCCTTGGGCCCCACATTCTGGTGAACTTCTGGAGAAAAAGCAAGACCATCTCTTATGGTGCCTGTGTGGCTGAGCTCTACATCTCTCTTAGTGTGGGCTCCACGGAGTGTATTTTGTTGATGGTCATGGCCTATGATCGCTATGCCGCTATCTGTCACCCACTGCACTACACTACCACTATGAGTCACTCTCGGTGTATGACCATGGCTGCTGTCTCCTGGGTTAGCGGCTTCAGCAATTCATTAATTCAAACAGTGATGATTCTTAGGCTTCCACTGTGTGGGCGAAATCAGTTAGATCATTTCTTTTGTGAGCTCCCTGCCATTCTTAAATTGGCTTGTGTTGACACTTCAGCTAATGAGCTTTCGGTACTTGTGTGTAGTATATTGTTCCTCCTAGTACCAGTTAGTCTCATCACAGTCTCATATGCCTATATAGCTACTGTGGTGCTGAAGATGCACTCAGCTGAGGCCAGGAAGAGGGCCTTCAACACTTGTTCCTCCCACTTGATGGTGGTCTGGCTCTTCTATGGCACATCCATCTTCAGTTATCTGCTGCCTCGCTCCTCCTCCTTCCGCGATGAAGTCAAGCTAACTTCCCTTTTCTATGCCTTTGTCACCACCATGCTTAATCCACTGATCTACACTCTGAGAAATAAAGAGGTACACAAAGCTCTCCAAAGACTACTCCATAAGAAATAAACACACAGATCGAAGGTGATTTGGAAGGTTCAACAGGAATACTCTTTACTTGTTATTATTTAAATGGTTTTTTTCTCTCCCTTTTGGTCATGTTAAACTTGTAACATATCTAGATACCACAACAGTACACAAGACTGTAAATTAAAGGGTATACTTCCAACTTGTGTCAACTGTGTCCCTTGATATCTCAGAGGTTTTGTTCTCCTGAGGAAAAAAGGCACCTTCTGAAGTTCTTACTGTGTTCTTTGAAAGAAAATTTGACTTGATATGATTCCACCAGGAGTGGATTGCTGCTGGTTTTACTACCAGTTCACAACCCGCATGTCTGTTCAATGTAAATTTTTCTTTGCACATGTGCAGTCACTAAAAACCAAAATGGCGATGGCCCAGTGGCGGCGAAGGAACTGGTTCAGGGGCATGACAGGCCTGGGTTGTTGCTGATTCTGCGACCCAGGCCTGAATTTCACTACCGGTTCAGCCGAACCAGGCCGAACGGGGAGCATCTCACCTCTGGATTCCACCCTTGCAAATGCTACATATTCATTATGATTTTTCCATCCTTCTTCCACATTCCTATATGCTGAAACTAAAAGAACAATTTGCTTATGATTTTCTCCCTGTACAAGAACAGGTCCCAAACCTTCCCTTTAGGTAGATCATGATGTTGCCATCATGGGTTTTTGAGGACTATTATATAATCCAGATCCATGCAGTCTTTGAGGATTCCACGTATACAAAGGCCCTTCCATGCTCTCTGTAGGATCCAAAAATTAAACACTTGACATTTGACCATGGCTCTTGACATAAGAACCATGGTGGAGCAGTCGTTAGAGTGCAGTACTGCAGGCTATTTCTGCTGGCAGATCAAATCTCACCAGACTCCAGGTTGACTCATCCTTCCATCCTTCTGAGGTCGGTAAAATGAGGACCCAGATTGTTGGGGGCAATAGGCTGACTCTGTAAGCTGCTTAGAGCGGGCTGTAAAGGACTGTGTAGTGGTATATAAGCCTAAGTTCTATTGCTAAGTGCTATTTATTTGACATAAAGCAGGACTATCCTACTTGCCATTAGAAAATGAAGCTCGGGGTGTTCTGAAATTAAATGTATTGATTACAACAATTCATGAAATATTTTATGAAATGCAGGATAATATACAGAAAGAATTAACATAGGACAACAAATTCAAAAGTTTTGAAAAACCTTTGGTGATTATGATAGTTCCTTTCAAACTAAACACAAATATAATGTCAGAAAGAATGGAATCAGGTAGGAATCTTCAAAAGTAGGAAATTAACTTTTAATGGCTATGACACATTTAACCACCTAATCATGCTTCTTGACATATTACATGTGTTCAACAGGTCTAAATGTTTGTTTGTACTTGGTTTCTGATCCATCTCGTTACAGTCTCCAATAGTCAGCCAGCATGGATGGATTCCAGTTGCCATGATACTGTTTTTCCATGGTGGCATTTTCCCGGGGAAACTTTCACCATGTTGGTCACTAAATGCACGTAGATTTTTGGGAAAGAAGTCCAAGTGCGAATGCAGAAAATGAATCTTCAGTGATAGGGTGTGCTTCATGGTCTTATATGCTGTAAGAAGTTTGTCAACCAGCTGAATGTAATTGAGTGTTCTATAGTTGCCAAGAAAATTCTCACAAAAATCTTTGCATACTTTCCAGGTGATTTTTCTCTGGCCTCACTAACAGGTCTTTTCCCCACTTATCTTAATGATATATCTGATTTGCGGACCAACAAAAATGCCTTCCTTAACATTGGCTTCAAATTATTCTTGGATATATCCATCACAAACAATGAAAACCTTCACCTTCTTGTTCTTTGCTTTTAAAAAAGTTTTCATCATTATAAGTTTTATGTGAAGGAGAAGTAAAAAATATCTTTGTTGGGTCAAACGTGGTTGATGTGCCACGTTTTTTCTATCCTAGAACCAGTGGTAGCATTCAATTTTTTTACTACCGATTCTGTGGGCATGGCTTGGTGGGCATGGCGGGTGTGTGAGGGAAAGGATACTGTAAAATCTCCATTCCCACCACACTCCAGGGGAAGGATACTGCAAAATCCCCATTTCCTCCTGATCAGCTGGGACTCAGGAGGAAGAGAATAAATGGGTTCTATTACCTGTTCTCCAAACTACTCAAAATTTCGGCTACCGGTGCTCCAAAACTGGTCAGACCTGCTGAATACCACCTCTGCCTGGAACCAAATTCTTTTGATATTGCCATTTCTTATTAATGTAACAGATACCAAGTAACAGATTAACAGGGTCTAGTCCAACCCCCGCTTAAGCAGGAGACCCTACACCATTTCTGACAAATGGCAGTCCAATCTCTTGAAGCTTCAAGTAATGAAGCCTCCCACAACTTTAGAAGGCAAAACTCTTCCATTGGTTGATTGTTCTCACTGTCAGAAAGTTCCTCCTTATTTCAAGGTTGAATCTTTGGTCAGTTTCCATCCATTATTCCTTATCTGGTCTTCAGGTGCCATGGAAAATAGCTTGATCCCCTCTGTGGCAGCCCCTCAAATATTGGAACACTGCTAACATGTCTCCCCTGGTCCTTCTCTTCACTCTGCACAGCCATGCACAGTTCCTGCAACCGTTCATTGTACGTTTTCGTCTCCAGTCTCCTAATCATCCTGGTTGCTCTTCTCTGCACTTTTTCTAGAGTCTTGACAGCTTTTTTATAGTGTGGTGACCAAAACTGGATGCAGTACTCTAGGTGTGTTCTTACTAGGGCTTTATAGAGTGGTATTAGTACCTTACTTGATCTTGATTGTATCCCTCTGTTAATGCAATTTAGGATTGTGTTGGCGTTGTGTGTGTGTGTGTGTGTGTTTGTCTGTGTGTGTGTATGTATGTATATGTATGTTGCATTTATATATGTGTATATATGTTACATTTTTGCTGATCTGTTTAATAGATCTAGTATAGATCTAATAGATCTAGTATAGATCTATTTAAAGCTATTTGGCTCTCTCGGGGAATGTTTTTTTTATTGTTTTCAGAAAAAAAATGTTTTTAGGGAATGTTTCTTTTATTTATTGTTTTAGGGAATGTTTTTTTTTTATTTATTATTTTCAGAAAATGTTAATTACAAGAAATGTTATTGCTTTTTGGAAATGTTTTGTTTGTGATGCAATATGTTGCTTTTAAGTGTGCCGGTTGGTGCATTGTTTGAGAGATTTTGTGTGTTTCTGTAGTGAATTCAGTCTCCGTTTTGTGTACTTATTTTATTCTTATTTAAGTAGTAAGTGCACAAAATAGTAAATTTCCTTTTTTATATCTTCTTTTTGTAGGTCATTCATTGGGGCAAAGAATTCAGTGACATCAACTTGGCCACTCCCACCCGGTCACATGACTGCTGAGCCACACCCACAAAACAGGCCACACCCACAGAATAGGTAGTAAAAAAATTTGAAACCCACCACTGCTGGATATAGGTGCCCTGATCCCCTCATGATTGGTCTAGATTGGGTGTGATGGCCTAAGACAATTAGAAGTTCTATGTGGAATCACATATAGATATATATGTACAACATTAATAAAAACACTGTTTCTGTCTATCTGTCGGTTTCTGTGTGTATTTTTAGCCCATCATCCTTACCTGGCATTGTGCTGTAAAGGCTGCACATAAATTTGTTGCATCATATATTTCTTGCACTTTTTGAAATTATTATTACACTATTTGAAATTTACTACTTTCTTTGCTAATCCAAACTTTTGCCATCACTTCCTCTCACTCCTGCATCTTTGCTACTGTCACTTTTTTGACACACACACACCCTCCCTCTATCCTTCCTGGGTGAGCCTTTGCAAATGGTTTTGCTGGACTCTGGAGAGAAGTGTCTTGCTTGCCGCTAATTTTTCATCTTGAGACCTGGTGTGTTGGGATTCAATGACAACTTTATAGCAATTTTCACTAAATGATGAGAAATAGGCCAGGAATAGTCCTCCCTTTCTTCCCTCCTTCCCAGAAAATGCCTATGAAATCTATCATTCTACTCCATTTCTTGCCTTTTAAGATTGATTATTGTGTGTCTGCATGAAATCTAAATATTTTGGAACACCTGGATAAGCCAAAATGCCTGTTTGAAGAAGGTGAGCTGAGAAGAGTTGGGTGGAAGGAGACTTGGACTTCTCTCTTTTCCATCTCTTTGGATTCCTAACACACACACACATACACACACACACAAACACACCAACCAGCTGCTGTCTCTCCACTGTAATTTATCTCCCTTTTCCTTTAAACAGAAAAATGCATTCATCTTTGCATTTAGCTTTCTTTCCCTACAGGCTCAAGTGTAAAATTGTTCTGAAATTATTGCTGCAATGTTATCTCCATTTGCTTCCCTGTTACACATTTATATGTGAAGTAAGTGAATGTTGATCAGGAAATATATTGTAACCTAGATTTTCATTGATTAGAACTGACTTCAGCAAAGGTGAGCCTAAGCTACAGTAAATCTAAATAGTTATAAATGTGGATCATTGTCTACTAGCTGCTGATCCAAATTGTCAACATGATTTTTGAATTTGTTCATTGTTCAAAATTATTTTTGTGGGCGTATTTCTTTAGAAGCAGTAACATTTGTGCTAGTAATAAGGAACATGTTAATTTGATTTGTATGTTAATATAAAACTGAGCAATTTACAATCCCAAACTTATATGCAAAATGGAATGCAGCTAAATAACAAAATCCATACACTGTGATGTGGTTTCTACTCAAGCATATATATAGATAGATGATAGATAGATAGATAGATAGATAGATAGATAGATAGATAGATAGATAGATAGATAGATAGATAGATAGATAGATAGATAGAGATAGATAGAGAGATAGAGATGGAGATATATAAATACATACACACACATACACACACACACACACACACACACAGAACAATACACAGATATCATTTTTAAGGGATTTGTGTATAAAAAATTATATTTCAAAAATCTGCATAGTGAAAATTATTATATTGTGTAAAACCTTGTACATAGGAAATGTACCCAAATATATATATGCTAAGAAATATTCATATTAAAATGGGTCCATTTTTTATTTCAAAAATTATACATTAATGTCAAAAGAGAAAAGGACACTCCAAAAAGTTAATTAGAATGTAATCACAATCAAATCATTCTTATCATACATATAATTCCTTCCTAATTAATATATCTTCGGTGTTTCCCAACATATGAACAAATTGCCTAAAATCATCTACCTGGCTTCTGTTATTTTGTTTAAGGGTTGGTGAGGGAATGTATATGTAATTACTAAATAATTCCCCTTCATGGATTACTGCCTAGTCATGGCGAAGGGCCTTATGTAGCTCAATGAAGATATGAGCTATGCTGTGCAGGGCCACCCAAGATGAACATTCATAGCAGAGAGCTCTGACAAAACGTGATCCACTGGAGAAGGAAATGGCAACCTACTCCAGGATCTTTGCCATGAAAATCCTATGGACAGCAGTACCCATGGGGTCGCGATGGGTTGGACAAGGCTTCGCAGCTAACAACAACTAAATAAGCATGAAATCAGTAAGATTTTTAAAAGGTAAACATTCCCCTCGTACATATGTGCTAGTCGTTTTTGACTCTAAGGGGTGTTGCTCATCTCCATTTCAAAGCTGAAGAGCCAGCACTGTCCAAAGACGTCTCTGTGGTCATGTGGCGGCATGACTAAACACCGAAGGCGCATGGAACGCTGTTAGTGGTCCCTGTTTTTCTACTTGCCTCTTTACATGCTTTCGAACTGCTAGGTTGGCAGAAGGTGGGACAAGTAACGGAGCCATGTGCAATGCCATCTCCAAACAGATACAGCTATATCTTAATTATGTGGGGTTTCTTTATGTGGAAAAATAAGATTTTATTAGCTGTGTCCATGTGTTTGTTGTCAAATCTCTCCCTCCCCCCACCTCTCTCTTCCAGGTCAACTCACTTAATTGGAGGAATGGATACGATGTACAAGGGATATGAGCTCCTGAACTGAAGGTGAGATATGAATGTAAATGTATAAAGAGTGTAAAGAGAGGTTTGTTAGACATTGGACAGGAAAGGACGTTGAATAGTCAAGAAAAAAGGGCGGTGGTGGGGGAACTGGAGTGTTGTTGCATTTCTCCTTTCTTACATACTAAATTTTGCTGCAGTTTTCTGTCTTTCCCTAGCCAAAACATTGGACCCTACCCATTCTGGGACTGGAAAAAAGATTCTGGCAGGCTCCTGGCATTATTTGATGTTCATTGACTTTTCATTGTGTCATGCTGCCCAATTTTCTGTAGCCAGATTAAGGTTTTCTGCCTGCAATATTCAGTTTGCACAGAGTAGGATTCTGTTTTACATTCACAAATATAATATGCGTTTTGGGATTAATGGAGGTATAAGAGTTGCTGAGGGTCTTTGAAAATGGCTACCTAACTGGACAAGGATTAGGGGGGCAGGTTTTGTATCATTAGAAAAGAAAGGCAATGTACATACAGGAAATGCCTGATATGAAAAGGGAAATCTTAGCACTTCCCTAACTACATCCTTTGGTGGGCAGGATGGCTCTGTGGTTAGAGACACTGAGATTGTCAGCTGGAAAGCTGACAGTCGAGGTCTGAGACCAAGCACTGTGTAATGGGTTGAACTCCCATCCTTGTCCCAGCTCCTGCTCACTTAGCAGTTCAAAAGAATGCAAATGTAAGTAGATGAGCAGGTTCCACTTCGGTGGGAAGGTGACAGCATTCTGTGCAGAGCTGGTATTCTGCCAGTTTGCCCCAGTTCAGGCAAACTGTTAGTGGCAGCCGAGGGAGGCTCTGCCCACCTGCCCAGATGTCACCATGGGCACTCTGTGCATGCACAGAAGGTTCTGCACATGCACAGAAGTGCTGTGCACGAGCAAACCAAGTGCGCACATGTGTGCTCCCAGTTCCGAACTGGCAGCAAAAGTAAGAAAAAACCATTACTGATTATAATATCCTTTGTGGGATTAATGGAGGTATAAGTGTTGCTAAGGATCTTTGACAGTGGCTACCTAACTGGCACCTGTATTCAAACAGCACTTCAAGTATGGGAATCAGTTGATCATGATGGATTCAGTCAGTTGTTTGAACCGAATTCCTTCTGTGTGTCATTACTTGTTCTAGTGTGCAGAGACAGTGAACATGGAAACCTCATGGGAAAATAGTAACCAAAGCTATGAAGGAGAATTCATCTTGCTGGGAGTGGGAGACAGGCCACGCTTGGAGATGTTGCTGTTTGTCTTAATCCTGGCATTCTACTTGATGAGCCTCTTCGGCAACACAACCATCATTGTGGTGTCGAGACTAGATCCAGGGCTCCATACCACCATGTATTTCTTCCTCGGCAATCTTTCCTTCCTTGACATCTGCTTCACCACCAGCATTGGGCCACAAATGCTGGTCAATTTCTGGAGAGCAAGAAAGACCATCCCTTATGGTGCCTGTGTGGCTGAGTTGTACATTGGTGTTGCTCTGGGCTCCGTGGAGTGTATTTTGTTGTCTGTCATGGCCTATGATCGCTATGCCGCTATCTGTCATCTACTGCACTACACTACCACTATGAGCCACTCTCGGTGTATAACCATGGCTGCTGTCTCCTGGATCAGTGGCTTCAGCCATTCACTAATTCATACAGTGATGAGTCTTAGGCTTCCACTGTGTGGGCAAAATCGAGTGGATCATTTTTATTGTGAGCTTCCTGCCTTTCTTAAATTGGCTTGTGTTGACACTTTGCTTAATGAGGCTTTGGTGCTTTCTGGCAGTGTGGTGTTGCTTATAGTACCAGTTAGTCTCATCACGGTCTCTTATGGCTATATAGCAACTGCAGTGCTGAGAATCCGCTCAGCTGAGGGCAGGAAGAGGGCCTTCAACACCTGTTCCTCCCATTTGATAGTGGTCTGGTTCTTCTTCGGCACAGCCATCTTCAGTTTAATGAAGCCTCGCGCTACTTCCTCCAGTGTTGAAGTCAAGCTGATTTCCTTTTTCTATGTCTTTGTCACCACCATGCTTAACCCATTGATCTACAGTCTAAGGAACAAAGAGGTGCATAAAGCTCTCCAAAAACTAATAAAGAAGAAATAAACACACAATTCAAAGGTGGATTTGAACATTCAACAGAAATACTCTTTATCTGTTATTCTTCCAGCAGTTTTGAGAGCACCTCTCTTTCTCTTTATTCATAATAAAATTGTATCATATCTAGATACCACAGCAGTACACAAGACTGTAAATTAAAGAGTATATAAGTCCCCAAACCGACAGTAAGAACTTACTTTCTGAAATCTACTTAGCTTATTGTGGACAACACACTTCCATCTTTTATCAACTAAGTCTCTTGATATCTCACACATTTGGATCCGATGTAATTTCTAGATTTTTATAAAATGATCCATGATAGGATGTATATTTTTGTGCTTAGCAACCAAACATCTATAAGATACTCCCAACAGTGTTCAAGAAGTACAATCTTTGTTGCCCAGTGTAAGCAATTAATGAAAAAAGTAAAAGTAGCAATAAAATATAAAAAATCTACATCAATAGATATATTGTATATATTATTAAAATGCTCAGGAGAGTATTCATTCACCTGCCTTTACTAGCATATGAACTTACTGTGACATCCCATTCCTAATCCATAGGGTTCAATATGACGTCGATCCACCCTTTGCAACTATAACAGCTTCAACTCTTCTGGGAAGGCTGTCCACAAGGTTTAGGAGTGTGTTTATGAGAATTTTTGACCATTCTTCCAGAAGCGCATTTGTGAGGTCACACACTGATGTTGGACAAATTTACGTGGCCTACCATTTCATGGCTGAGTTGCTGTCATTCCCAAACACTTCCACGATCTTATAATACAGCTGACAGTTGACTGTGAAATATTTAGAAGCGAGGAAATTTCACGACTGGATTTGTTGCACAGGTGGCATCCTATCACAGTTCCACGCTGGAATTCACTGAGCTCCTGAGAGCGACCCATTCTTTCACAAATGTTTGTAAAAACAGTCTGCATGCCTAGGTACTTGATTTTATACACCTGTGGCCAAGGAAGTGATTGGAACACTTGATTCTGATTATTTGGATGGATGAGCAAATACTTTTGGTAATATAGTGTATCTTTGTCTGGTATTACAAGACAATAAAGAGAACACTAATTATAGTTCACTGGAGGCAGCACCCCAAATTTATAGGGTTACTAATGAGAAGACCTGTTTGTAGATACTGATTTGGAAATGAGTTCCACCTTGCTACTAATGGGGTGGCCAAAACAACCAACTTGATGGTGGAACAGTATCTACACTGCTGTCAGGGTTCAAAATAACATCCAAAATTAAATCAGAGTCCAAGGCAAAGTATTGTTCAAAGTTCCAATTTATTGAGAGAGCCATGTTGGCACATCTGGGAAAACCCGAATCTGAAAGCTTCTTGGTTTTCCCCACCCAATTGAAAGTTCAAGCTCTTGCCCCCACACCCACCAGTCCATCATGTGGTCCAATCTATCACTGCCACGTTGGCATTTCCATCCATCCAGTTGCAGTCAGGTGCAGAGGTACCCAGACAAAGGATGACCTTGGCAATCTAAAAGGAATTTTATTTTGGTTACATCACATCCTACTCCTTACTATTCCTCTCTCATTTCCCTACCATAGAAACAGCACAGTAGATAGAGGTGTGGTAGGCCAAAGATCCAAAAGGAACCTGGTTGCCGGCCTGACAGCTGCTATGTTAAGTACCAGCAGACTGACTGGGGCAATTCATTGAGATGGAATACAACACAATGCATAGCGGTACTGGGTTTACGCCCTTCCAAATCATGACGGGAACTGAATTTTTCCTGATATCTGAGTGTCCTCGAGAAGTCCCTGCAGACAAAGGACTGCGTGACTGGATGGCAAGCATGTAGCTGGTGTGGAAGAATACCAAGCAGGCCTTGCAAAACTCGGCAGAAGCCTATAAAGTTCAAGCTGATAAGAAATGTAGGGCCAGGTCCCATTTAAAGTAAGGGAGCAAGAGTACCTATCCACAAAATAGCTTAGGCTCAAAGTACCCAATAGGAAGTTAGGCCTAAAGTTTCTAGGGCCCTCCCCAATTGTACGGGTTATCAATCCTGTTACAGTGGAGCTCAAAGTGCCCCCGCTTCTTGGTAAGAACCACCCAGTGTGCCACAGTAGCCTTTTATGTCCAGTGAGAACAGCAACCATACAGGGGGTCCAAAACAGGTGCCTCTTCCCATCCCGGTGGGTGGGGACTTGTGGGTGGGGACCACCAAATGGCCCAGGGCTGCCATTTGTGTTTCCAGAACATGACAGTGCCAATATTTGGAATACAATTTGTGGTAATAGAATGTAGACTGGATGGAAAGTCCATAAGAGGACAAAAAATGCCCCAATCCCGTCAGGTTTGGTCTAGGTTGGGTGTGGTGTAAGGTGACCAGACGTCCCGCTTTTGGTGGGACAGTCACGATTTTCCACAATTTGCCCCGCATCCCGCGTCATCGTTAAAAAGTCCTGATTTTTCATTTTTGGCGCATTACAGCTCACTCGCTCCCCCGCCCATCCACACTAAGCCAGCCCAGCCTGCCGCTCACTGATTGGCTGGAGTCTAGCCAATCAGTGAGCAGGCTGGGGGTGAAGCATTTAAATTTAAAAGCTTCGCGCTGCTTGAGTCTGACCTCCATTTCGCCTTTGCCTTCCAGGAGCTTGCTGCTTCCCCATCAGGTAAGCAACTAAGCCCCAGCAGTGGGACTCAGGAGGTTTCTGGTGGGCAGCAGCAGCCTAGCTTTTGCAAGGGAAGGCCTTCTGGTGGGCGGTGGCAGCCTAGCTTTCGCAAGGGAAGGCCTTCCCTTGCAAAGGTCTTCCCTAGTGAAGCCGCGGGCTAACAGTAACCGCTGCGGCCTAGCTTTCACAAGGGAAGGCCTTTCCTTGCAAATGTCTTACCTAGTGAAGCCGCGGGCTAACAGTAACCGCTGTGGCCTAGCTTTCACAAGGGAAGGCCTTCCCTTGCAAAGGCCTTCCCTAGCCTAGCCACAGGCTGGCAGTAACCGCTGCGGCCTAGCTTTCCCAAAAACTGTGGGCTTACAGTGAAGGCGGCCTAGCTTTTCCCCCAGCCCCCCCTCCAGACCTGCTTAGTGACCCTAGCCTTGTTGTCCTTCCACAGTCCAGTCCAGTGTCTTACCTGTTCCTGCTGCCTCTCTGCCTGCCTGCTCCCTGTTGCTTCCATCCATCACTGCAAGGATCCATCGCATCAGAGTTCTGCTGATTCTGNGCTAGGGATTCGAACTGCCAAACGGCTGACCTCTCTGATCAACAAGCTCAGCGTCTTAGCCACTGAGCCACCGCGCCCCATGTTACAAGGTTAACAACAATTTGGTTAAAGGACGCCGATTCTAAAACCCATGAAAATAAAGCCGGCTTGAGTTTTACCCTGCTTACTGCATGGTCTCACCTACCTTGGGACCCCCGGGGGCACACGGTTGGGCCGTGAGGGGACTTGCGGGGGTGGTCCGAAAGGATCAGGAGAGGCCCCCGGCCTGGAAGGCACAGGGGGAGCACCACCGAGGCTGGGACCACCAGCAGGCGGAGGTCCAGGAGCTGGTCCTCGCGATCCAGGTCGAGTGGGTGGGACTGCCGGAGCCCTTCTCTGCGGCGTGGGGCTGGAGGTGGGAGACCTGCCAAGGGAGACACCAGTCAGCTTGAGGGGTCCTTAGCGGAGAGCCCAAAACAGCATTCAAAAGAGATTGAAGGCGGTCGGATTCCGGGAAGAGGTCGTCCTCGATTTACCACGGTTCGGAAAATGTGACTTATGACCATTTGTCAACCGTTGCAGCTTCTCTGTGATCCCGCGATCAAAATTGAGACGTTTGGCAGCTGGTTCGTATTTGTGACGGTTGCAGCATCCTCTTGGGGGGGGTGTCACACGATTCCCTCCCCCTTGGCGACCTCCCGACAGCGGGGAAGCTAAATTAACTTAACGACCAGGTTACTAATTTAACAACTGCAGGGATTCGCTTAATAACTTGTTTCAAGAGAGGTCGCAAAAGGGGGCAGAGCTCACTTCAGAAATGCCTCGCTTTGCAACAGAATCCAGATTCACTTCACCAACCAGGTTACTTGCCGATCAGCTGCAGTGACTCACTTAAGAACGGTGGCAAGAAAGCACGTACCATGGAGCCAAACAAACATCTCACTTAACAACAGAAAGTTGGGGCTCAATTGTGTTCATAAGCCGAGGACTACCTGTGCTGACCTAGGCTTCCCCAGATCATGAAGCCCACTCCTCGTCCCGATAAAACCCCTTTTATTTAGGTTGAAGGGAATTCCTCTCCAGCCAAGTCCCGGCCGAGAGTCTTTCAAGAGATTTCACAACTACAGGCCTTTCTCAGGCTTGGAGAGCTGCCAGGTCGATATCTTCTAAACTCCACGCTGTAGCAGCAATTCCTTGGCAAGAAGTCAGGAACAGAACTTCACCCTAATGAATTGAACTCATTGTCTCCTGCAAACTCCACTCCCCAGTTGCTCCTCTTTTATTCCCCATGGGAGGGGACATTCACTGTCCACCTGTGGCTTTACTCCTAAGTCGGACCTTGTTCCTTAGCCGTTCCCTTCATCTGGCAACTCTGCGCATGCGCACACTGGGAACAGGCTCCAGCTGTTCTTCTGTCTCACTGATGTCTGACTCCGAAGGCAGCTGATAACTGGTACACGGCTCTGGCTCCCTCTCTGCTTCCAACACAGAGGCCTCATCTGAGCCTTCCCCGGACTCCAGGACTGGCCCATGCTCCTCCCCAACCCTCCTCACTGTCCGAATCTGCTGCCAGCTCCGCTGGCCACTGGCAGGCCATAACACTACCTGGATTTCCTTTTTGTTTGCCACCATCGGTTGCCCAAAGAAATCAAATTGTGTCCTGTTCGCCCCCTATATGAGTTTTGGTGTGGCGTGTACATAAAGGGTCTCCTGGATTTACAACCCTAACAGAGGAGAAAATTTCCATTGCTAAGCAAGACAGCTGTTAAGTGAGTTTCACGCCATTTCACCCCCTTTCTTGCCACAGTTGCTAAGTGAATCACGGCAGTCGATATATCGGTAAACCTGGTTGTTGAGTAAATCTGGCTTCCCCGTTGACTTTGCTGGTCAGAAGGACATAAAAATGGGGATCGAGTGACACACACCACACAAACACACACCCGGGACTCTACAACCCGTTAAAAAAGACGAGCCGGTTGCCAAGCATCTGAATTTCAATCGCGTGGTCGCGGTGGATGCTACGACAGTCGTTAAGTGTAAAAAAATGGGGCTGGGTGCCTTTTTTTTCCAGTGCTGTTGTAACAGTCACCGAGCAAACGGTTGTAAGCCGAGGATTGCCTATCTAATCCTCACACTTGGTGACAATTTTTCCAGCAATTTTGTGAAATGGCGAAGAAAAGACCCACTCAGATGGATTCATAATGGTGAATGGTAGGGAGACGACATGGTCTTCTCCTAAGTTGGTCAATCTGGAAAAACGGAAGATGTTTCCACAGGGAAGATAAATGTGGGCCAGTGGTGGGTTCCGGATCCCGTACCGGTTGGAACGGGCCCGGCGTTGGCCACATGGACGTGCGTTGCACGTGCATGCATCGTAGCTGCTAGCAACGCTTCTGCAAGTCTTTGCGATGCTCCAGTACTCGGCGGAGCATCGCGCAGGCGCTGTATGCATCATGCATGGAAGTGCCAAAGGCTTTAAAGGACAGGTGAGCTCGGGCAGGCAGGCGGGCCCTCCGGAGCATTGTACCGGAACGGTACCCAGTGCTCCGGGCAGTCTCTGGTACACCCCTACCGGGGCGTACCGCCTGCAACCCACCATTGATGTGGACGTTCAGCCCAGTTCACCTCTTCTTCCCAACCCACTTTAACTCTCTGGGGTAGAAGAGCAGCTGTCCTTGATGGGGTACCACCCCAAAAACCTTCTGCACCCCCACTTGGCTCTGGCCCTCCACGCAGATCCTATGGACACCATGGTCAACACAGACCTCCCAGCCTGCTTCCTAACTGTTTCTACCACCTATCCGGCTGGGCAGAGGCGCCAGGAAGGTCAGCGGAGCCTCCCCCCTGCGCCGCGGGTACCTGCGTCCGGACGGTATGTTCTGCACCTGCAGCCAAGAGTCGTCCACTGGCGGTGGCAGCGGAGTGCTGGTGGTGGTAGTGTTGATGTCCCCGATGATGTTAAGGGCCTCTCTCAGGGCGTGATACATGCGCAGCATCTCGTCGCGATGCTGGGCTTGCTCGGGTGACTCCTCCATGAGGGTGTTCTGGTCGCCGCAGGAGTAGAGGTTGGCGAGAAGCTCGGAGTGGATGAACTCCTTGGTCTGCCAGAGAGGAAGCAGAAGGCGAAGGTCATTCACCTGGACAGCTCTGCAATGGCTCTATTGTGACTGACGCTTCCCGAGAGCATGAAGCAAACGCCTTGTCCCGACAAAATCCCCTTTTATTAATCTGCTGGGAATTCTGCTCCTTCACCTCCAGCAAAGTTTTTCAAGGGAGGATTTACAGTCACAGACCTTATCTGGCTTGGAGAGCTGCCAGGCCGATCTCTGCAGAACTTGGCAAGGAGTCTCGGAGAGTCACAAACCAATGAAACGAACTAATGGTCTCCTGCAAACTCCACTCCCCTTTCTCCCCTCTTTTATTCCCTCTGGGAGGGGCCATTCACCGTTCACCTGTGGCCTTCCTCCCAAGTCGACTCCTGTTCTTTAGCTGTTCCCTTCGTCTGGCCACTCTGTGTATGCGCACACTGGGAACAGGCTCCAGCTGTTCGTCTGCCTCACTGCTCTCTAGCTCCAAAGC